TGGGGGGGGGTCAGCTGCAGTAAGTCAATAAAGAGCACACACAGGATTGTACAGGAAGGCTGGACACAACATGTCAGTTTTTTATTAACCAAAAGTGAAGCTGAACCCCAGAGTGGTTTAACTTGTTAAAACCATATATTTATATGGCAGATATTTTTCTTTCATGTTCAACACTATAGTGCAAGAACCAAACTTCGCAGCTGTTCATCCTTTGAGAATCAAGTACTAAATATAAAATGAATTAAAATAAGGGTCCCTCAATGAATCAATTAAAAAAACATTTAACTCAAAAGAACAGACCAATTTTAAGAACTGTCTTATTAAATTCTCCCAAGTGAAAGACCTTTAAAAGCACTTGGAGCCTTGAGGTAGCAACTTTATGCAGAATTTAATTCCCCTCGTGCCCCACAGAGCAGAGGAAAATTAGTAGCGCATTATTAGCTCCAGCCAGCTAAGCGGAGTTGAGTGTTCTCCTATGAGGTTAGTGACTTTCTCTTGCATCTTGAAATAGCAGTGTAGTGCTGCAGACCATCAGGAGGAAATCCACAAGGAAGGCCTCTTGAAATAAAATACACGGTTTGAAAAAAGTGAAAATAATCAGCAATAACAACAAAAATTGGAGTTAAAAAAAAACCAAAGCGTTTGTATTTTGGCAAGACTAGTTTACAAATACATGTCAACAGAAAAGAAAGAATGGAAGTGACATTCAAAGGGGTTTCGGTTTTTTGCCTTCTGTGCAAAATTGCACTTTGTTTTTAAAGTTTTAAGTTTTGCACTTTTGTTTCTAAAAAAAGAGAGCACTTTTGCCCTTTTTGTTCTTTTACATTGTGAAACCTGTGCTGTGACATTAAACAGAAATACCACATGCCAGGATATTTGACCACTGAAAGCTCCTCTCACTGACTTCACAACAATCACAAGCAGGGAATCACAAACAAGAAACTTTTTTCCCCCTCTAAGTCTCAAAGACACTATCCTCTTTGCCCACTTTGCTGCTGAGTTCTTTTATTAAAAACTAGATCTCTCTCTACTGCCAATTTCAGAGACTCCACAGCAGATTTACTGAACACTGAGCAGTAACAACAAAAAAACTGGGCTTGTTCTCCACAACAATTGTGATGAACAGTCATAGTGAAAAGGAATGAGCTGAGATACAGTGACACAGGCAGATCTTTACAAACAGGCGCCTCGTTTCACTCCCTGGTCTTGCTATCGCTACTCACACGCTTTCTGACTTTGCTCATTGCTGGTGCTCTAACCAGATACCTGGCAATGTTGAGTATCTTACTACAAGCTTCTCCACTATCTTCATGCTCCAAAATAGTACAGAACAGGCTGGTTAAACCAGACCAAACTAGATGAGGCACATTGCAAACTGTAGCTTTTAAATGGATGAGCCTTCTTACGGGCTCATTCTCTTTCAGCTCAAGGTCAGGTTGCTTCTCTATACCACAGAATGATGTCACACAGATGCAGGATGGCACTGCCCAGTATGCATTTGCTTCAGGGAGTCTAGAGTAAGGTAAAACTTTAAAAGCTTGTTCTTGCTCGCATGGGATCCTAATCTTTTGATTTTATGTTCTCATCCCTTCCTTTGACTTCCAGAAGCCATCAAATCCTCCCTTCCAGGCAGAATTCCCTTAAGAATCTAACAGTAGCCTTGCCTGTTTTTTTGGTTAAGCTTCAGAACAATTGCCAATGTTTGCATATGCTGAGGTATACAATCCTGTCCTGCAGAGAACCAAAGGCTGTAAGAACCAGAATCCATCTATAAGGCAACCCAACCTGCCAGACTCCTCTGGATAAAGGAGAGGATATTCTGCCTGGGAGCAACAAAGGCCAGCTGATGATTACTCACAGCAAGTTTCTCTGTAGTTCACATGACAGTTTAGGCAGCACAGAAACTCATACTAGTTTGGAGACCACTTTATGTCTGGTTCACAGGACAGTCACGAGCTGGCTTCAGAAAGACTCTTGTCTTGGAGCCCAAAGTATCTTAAAGTTTTATCTGTTATCAATGCAAGGACCTGATGAGTAAGGGAGGTTTCATCTTTTCTTCGTTTTTGTTTGTTGGAGTTTTTTTTGTTTGGTTTGGTTTTTAATTCTGTAATCAAAAGAATTATTTTGTCTTTGGTGTTAAACCTTGGAAGCATGAATGAGAAGCACCTGCTGCTTCTTTGGCTATAATTTACAACAAAAAAACAGCCCAGTAAAGCAAGGGAAATTCACTGTTCTAAAATACATGCAGTTAGAACAGCCACTAGACATCACAACCAGGACTTTAATAATATGGAAACACCTAGTTCAGTGGTGTCCATTACAAATCATTTGCATTATATAAAAATATGACTCCAATTACAGTAACTGGACAACAGCCATTCAAACTTACCAAGTTTGCATCTTACTCATATTGCAGGAACTGGGAGGAGCTCATCCATTTACGGAAAAAAATTGTCCAGAAATCAACTTAAGAGTTGCAGCTAAGCATCTCGTGCCTTAGAGAAATGTCCACTGTGGTAACTAGAAGCAGGAATTCAACATTAGTATCCTTCTATTCTTGCTCATGTGGCCATGAATAAAAAGAGCAGGTTCTGTTATACTAACATCCACAATTAAAATTTTATAACCCCATAAAACGCCAGTAAGTTTTGTATGAGCTGCAGAAGAATTCAAATTCAAAGGGTCACTAGATTTATTACCTACAAATTCAATGTCTTAATATAAATATTCTGTTCGTACACCATAAAAAGTCCTTCTTATGGTCTGATTCTTATTTAGATAATAGTCCGATAAAATCTCAGCAGTATGCCAATTAAGGTCATTAAAGCTATAGAAATAGAATCTACCTAATAAATGCTGCAAATTTAACAGGTATTTTAGATAAACATAATTAGCTTAGTTATCACTTAAACCAGACTCCTCAAACACACCAACTGCGTAGTTAGCAAAGACATTTGCTTTACAAAGTCAAATGTTGCCAACTTTTGAAAAGTTTAGCAAATCAACATGGTATTTGGAAGCATCCAAGTGTCTAATGAAGTTAGAATACTGTGAAATGTTAGGACTAAGGGGGGAGCTCCTGTAAACAAGTACAGAAGTAGTCTTCATTTAAATTACAAAACATTCACCTCCTTAAAAAGCTTTAAAACTGACCCAGTCAACAACAGCGCCCTGGGAAATCTAGCAGTATAAAGGATCTCTGTAAGCAAGAGAAGGTCATATATTGTGATCTCACCACAATAAAATGTACTCAGTGTCAGGAACAAGGAGCACATTTGGGGAGATGACAATTATGACACCTTCAGGCCATTTGGTCTGAACCACTGCACTTTTTTGGGCAGCATAGAGTAAAACAATTTTCTTTGCTGCTCAGAAAACACTTAAAATACAGTAATGCTTCATTTTCTGCATTTTGTTGCTAAGCAGACTCTCCCATGTCCCCAGCTCAGTTTACTTGGTTTAAAGAGCTCTACCACCTGCTGCTTTCAGCAGGTGGAAGAAAACTTCAGTGCCACCTTATTAATTGGCTCCATTGTATTTTAACTTCAAACCCAGATGCTACAATTAAAAGCAAATTTGACATTGTGTAAGGAAAGCTTCAGATGAAGGTAATAAGCCTGTATAAAAGGCTCATATTCCACAGGTTGCCTCTGCAGAACAGGCGACCTCCCACTACAGAATCTGATCTGAAAATTTATCCCAACAGTAACACCAGAAGGAAGGAGGCTTCTACATCTTGCACACTTTGGGTTTTATATCAGGCACTTGAACTGTTGGACGGATGCCATTCTGAACCAAGTAAGTGAACATAGGGTTAGAATCATCTTTAATCTAGGTCTAATAATGAAGTATCAGCAGCAAAGTGGAGGCAGGGAGTGAGCAATCCCTTTGTGCTGAGACTTGTTTATCGTTTCTAAAATGCCCAAGAAGACAGCAGCAGTAACTGTTCCATAGTGTCCGTTTTCCTTGTGAGTTGTGTTGCTGATAGGAGGCTTTTCTGTGTCTTGAACTAAGAAGGCATTGAGGTACCCTGTGCCTAATTCCCTGGATCCAACAGGTCCATGCTAGAGCCAAACATTGCCACCAGCTGCTCCTCATAATGTGTTATATTCCTCTTCATAATGTCCATGCAGGGTCCAAGCAACCTCTCAAATGCTTGCACATCCATGACTGCAAAAGAACAGAAGTGAAAACAAGATGGTTTGTCAAAAAGGACACCACACGCCAATCTTTTCTGAACTCAGAACACAGACCTCCAGTCCAACCCATTTGGGTTTGAGGCTTAAATAGAAGCCACAGAAATCATATTTCTGATTTCCCTCTGTACTGTTATTTGGAGAAACAAGATTAATGTAATACACACCTGACCTCAAGAAAAAATACAGAAGCCAAATACACACCACACTGGCATTAAAAGATCGCCTGAAAGCTGTGTGTGACAAACAAGCTGTAGACAAGAAGCTGATGCTACTTACCCCTTCAAAGAGTACAGGCCACACAAGCAGAAAAAACAGAATCTGCTGGAAGGAAGGAGCAGTGCTGCTCAAACTTCACCGTGGAGATCCGCTCCAGCCCATGCTCCTAGCTTCTTGTGTCTGACCGCCAGTTACCAAAAGGCTGCTAGTTTTGAATAGCTGCTCACTCAGGCATGGTTCACAAAGCAAGCAAAGACCAAAAACTAGAAATACAGAACATCTGCTTACCTAAACACTTGACCTCCCCAACAGCATAGGCAGAGGCTGCTCTGGGTTTGTTGGTAACGAGTGCAAGCTCTCCAAAATACTGCCCTCTGTGACACCGGGCAATCTCCACTTCTTGGTTAGCTTCTTTACTCGTCATAGTCTGTTAAACAGTACATTTTAATTATTTGCATACAGTTCTGTCTTTGTACAAGGCTGCAGTTAATTCCAGATATCTTACAGATGTGCAACAGCTCATTGGTTTAGGGCTTTTAAACTAGCAATTCCCAAGTCATGCTCTGTACTGGTAGAACACCTTAACAGCATGTTCAATTAGAAGTTTGATAAGAAAAGCATATGCCAGCCCATGAGTTTTGAGATTGACAGATATTTACTGTTACAGCTTTGGGAACTGCTATTACATTAGCCTAACACAGGTTTTACCATGCACAACATGATGTTCCCTAAGGCTGCTTCAGACTGTACAGAGATCCTTTCAAATGCCAACATCTAGGATGTCACTAGAGATAATAGACCCCAGGTTTTGTCAGTTGCAGTTTTCTATAATCCTAGAATTAAAATTTCATCTCCACTCTTAAGGCCAGGGAGAATATATCAGGTTAGTTTGTAGAGGAGCAAATAAAAGCAAAAGACTTTCCAACTTCAGTAAAGTGACTTCTGGCCACTTCAGAACAGGTATGGGGATTTACAATCTACATGACATGAGTGACAACGATAAATATCATAAAATAATATCTTAAAATAAGTCAGGGTAGGCTTTTTCACACCACTTGTATTAATCAATCAAATCAGGGATTCACCTAAAGCCTAATAACCCAATTTGAACTCACCTTGCTTTTAATCAAGATTTTTACTTCACCAGATTCTACAATGTAAAAACAATCTGCTTTATCACCCTGTGAAGAGGAAAAGGTAAAACAAATCATTTTTTAGTTTACTGTAAAAGTATGTATAAATGGTATTAAAGCATTCACTCTGAACTAGGCCTTGTGGAGAAATCTGCTAGAATTGACAAACATTCAAATTCTTAACATTAAAAGGTGACTGGTTAGGTAATACATCAGAGGAGCCCACAAGGGAAGGAACTATTAGTACACATCATTCAGTGAGAGGGCAGGTGGAAAGGAAAAAGCAAAGGAGATTGACAATATATAGTAAAATCACTTAAATGCAAATCTTCTGATCCTGATGGAAGTATCCAATAGATAGTGAAACTAAACCAGGCCTGGAATTTCCAGAAGCAAGTTTTAATAAAACACCAATTTAGTGACCACATTTCTAGATGTCAGTAGGAAGAAGGATCCATTAAACTAATTATGAGCTCAGTCAATCCAGGGTAAGACAGTGGGAGATCAGCAGAACTGAGAATAGCCATATTTGAGGAGCATGAACATAGTAAGAGGAGGATAGTTTACAGAAAACCAAGTCCACAATGCAAGCCATCTACATGAGAAATGATGCAACAGCTGTGTACAGGTAGTGAGAATGGTAAGGAATAAAGCACTCAATAGCATCATGCCATTAAAGGAAAATAAGAAACATAGAGCAAGTGGGAAAAAAATAAAAATTGATAGCCATTTTATATCAAGTTCTAGAAAGATATCACAAGGTGGTGTTGAATAACTGAGTGTGAAATAAAAAAATCTTGGTTTAGTCAAATTCAGCTGTTTCTATAAAAAAGTCACTGTGAGGGTGACCAAGCACTGGCACAGGTTGCCCAGAGAGGTTCTGAAGTCTCCACCCTTTTTTCAGATGTTCAAAAGCCATCTGGACATGGTCCTGGACAACTGGCTCTAGGTGGCCCTGCTTGAGCAGGGGGGTTGGACAAGGTGACCTCCAGAGATCCCTTTGAGCCTCAACCGTTCTGTGATTCTGTGAGAGTTTCTAGAACCTTTTTCATATCTATTTAAACTGCATCAGGTTGCAGACCTTCAACAGATTGTAGTTTACATCTGCTCTGCAGAGCTTTGCCAGGACTTAGTATTTTGAAAGTTTTACCTGTGACAGAGAGGACTTTCCCCCTCTATACCAACCCTTGTGGGCTTGGTATAGGACTGGAAGTCAGAGTGGAGAGCCAGCACGTGCCTCCTGCTACAAATCAGAAGCAAAGGGACTAAAGGCTTCAGGGAGACAGAGGCTAGATAAGGAACTGGTAAGGGAATGGGAGTCGCTCAGGAAAAAAAAAAGTGAAACAATGTGAGGAGAGAGATAAATCTGACATTAAGTCAAGTGGGCAAGGATGAATGTAATGGGAAGGATAGAGAGAGATGATTACAACTTGAGTATGAAACATGGGCTAGGAGAAGATGATGCAAGATTTAAACATGGAGTTACAGAATAAGTTAGTCCCTTAGCTAAGCTTCCTGGGGATGGTCATAAACCATCCAGTGCAAAGATTTTCATTCACTGTTGCCATCTATCACAACATGAACTAATACACTCAGCACACTTCTGAAAGTAAGTACTGAAAGAGTACTTATTTAAAAGAATTAAAACAGTGGGAGACATCCTCATAACACCAGCAGGCACTAACAATTTAAGTGCTTTAAAGTATACTGCCCTTAACTGAAGGGTCAAATTCCAGAAAGATCATTAAAATGTAAAATTATCCATGAGAGAAAAGGGGCTTACGGTATTGGTGCAACTACTGTAATGTAAAAGCTATCACATCTTTTCCAAGCACAAAATTTCATCATCTTTAGCAGTGTATTACCATCACCCAGACCTATCCAGACTATTAATCCTCCTTTTAAGGGTAATTACATCCTTGTCCTTAATTCAGTTATTACAAAAGATTAAAACCAACTGCATAATTGGATCACTGATTGCGTGGATTCCCAGTTCTGAGACTGATTTATAAGCTTTGGTTTTGCTGAGTTCAGTTTTCTCAGGGTCTTAAGCAACAAGATTTTCAACTTATAAAATTGAGGGTATTTTTGGAGAGAAGTAATTTGGCGGTATTTGCTTATCAGCAAACTAAGGTTTCCTGTACTGAGTTATCTGACATTCAAGGTAATTAAGATTAATTATTCAAGACTTTATCAAGGAGTCATATTCTGTTTATAAAACAAGACAGTGGTTGTGATCAAAAGCCAGGGACTTTCTTGCATTAACTTTTATTTGAACTAGAGCACTTTTGCAACAAACAAAGCAACCCCAAGCTAAAGTTGATTCAAAATTCCAGTGTTTCATCAGTAACAATGTTCCAAAAAGTTACTTGTGTCACAGCCAAAAAAATCCCACAGCTTTAGCTTGAGTTTGTCCAGCTTCATGTTCCACCACTCTGGCCTTGATCTATTACAGCAGATAAAACATACACCAACAACCAAAGGCTGTCAATTGAAGCCAGACTACTCCACCATTGAAATACTCTTAAGAGCATCAGGAAAAACAGTGGCTTTAATTAACCCTGATAGTTTCTTAGAATAGTTAACTGAGTTGGGTCCAACTAGTGAATATTCACAATTACTTCATTTACTTTCATCCAAATCAATCACACTCTTGTTGAATTTTTTGGTTTTGTTGTTTAGTCAGACCTAGGAATTAGAGATGCCTTTACTACATGCTTGTGACTCCTTGTTTAACCTGGTCATAATAGGTGCCTATGAAACGTCTAGCTGGGGGCTTTCATGGAAAATTGCATAGACAGACATTTAATTTCAGCTTCTTAAGGCATACTCCTCTTGAAACCTTGCAAAGACCATTTATAAAAAACAAACAGATGAGAGAGGAAAAACTCAGAAGTGAAAGTAATAAATTTGTAGCAAAAAATATACTGGCCATTCCCCAAACATTCAAGAAGTGGTTAAATAAATTAGAAGCATTAAAAGAATAAGTGCCGAGTTGGTCCAAGTAATAGGATTCTATAAGTCAATTCAGAATAGGAAAAAAGCAGCAGAGAAAGGAGAATGACAAAGAGAAATTAAGACTTCAAGTACCTGAGAAATTATACGTTCCCCATTTTGATACACTTTCTCCCCTATAACATCCACTATCTTCATTCGCTCTGATGCCTGGAACAAAGAGGAAAATTAAACATATTCATCTATTATAGTATATCTCTGGTAAACTTTGTAGCCTTGAAATGAAGAGGCATTCCCTAGACACACAAACAACAGTAGCTGGGTACTGAAAAATACAGCCCGTATAATGACATTGTCATACTGCACCACAGCTTTCAAGACTACCATAATCAACAGGGAAAGAAAATTGTCTAGTGTCCCATCCGTGTGCTTTTTTTACCCCCAAAGTTAACAAATAACTGATTTGGTTGGTTTAGAACAAAGAAAAAAAAATAATCACTTCCTCTAAGATTCAGTTGAAATTTGAAGAAAACACTCAGAAAAATGTCATAAACTTCCTAAGAACAAACTTCAATGAGAAACACCAGCAACACATTTTCAAAATATTTTAATCACCACACACTTGAATATGTAGGGGGTTTTGTGTCCCAGAACTCATTCTTAAGAGTGGAGAGACGAAGCGGTATGAAAAGGATACCAGCGTAAGCAGGCACCGCAACAGGATGCTCAGCAGCAAGGGCAGCAAAGAGGTACTAATCTGACATGCAATGGAGCATGCCTGAGTCTTCATGAACAGGAAGGGAGAAAGAACAGTTAAATTTACCTCCAATGTTTCCCACTGCCCATCTAGAACACCGCAAAACAGTTTTATTGCTTCAGAGCAGTGTAAAAAACATATTAAAGAAAGGAAGAAAATCCTACAGTTAAAATTAGTTTCTCCACAGATGATTCAGTTGTAATCCATTCATTCCACAAATGCACCTTAATCTAGCCCATGTTTGAGAAACTTAATTCTGATCCACGCATGATTCAACTGCAGTGTGTCATGCAGAAAGCCAACCAGTGCTAATGAGTTATTTTTCTATATCTTTAAATATTTGAGAGTCATTTTTGTGCTCAAGTCACACTGACGGAACTAGTTTAAGCTAGGCACTGAGGGAGAAGGTGGTGTGCAATTTTACCCCTTCCACAGCTACCAGTGTATGTCCAAAATAATATGTATTAGAGGCTGCTATTCACACTTAATGATACTTTGCAATTTTATAATCTTCTCTCAAAGGGATTAAAAACTCTTCTCAAATACTAAAGATTAATGCTGAAAAATACCCTTATGATGAGAAAACAAAGAAAAGCTAAGTTATGGTGCAAAGCAAAAGACAGACACATACTAATTACAAAATAGTTTGGTATGGCTCCAAAAGCCCTCTGAAGATACAGGCTGAATCAATAGCTTAGAAGTGACAATTTACACATTGTTCCTGAAGTCATGCACCACACACATCAGCATGACATCTGTCATTTTGTTCCTAGGTAGCAGTGCTTCCCTTTAGCCTATTCTTGGTTCACCTCCTACATACCTGTTAAGGTTAAAGCAAGACCTACTAAGGCCCACATCTTTGGCTCAAATTTAAAAACATTCATGGCTGATAAAGGCCAAATATCCCAGTGATTGTATCATTACTTCAATATCACACCCTCAAAGGAAACCACAGCCCTGAGTTCCAATTTGCACTTTCATACCTGTTCTCTGATGTATTTATAGATGTTTTTGTTTTGTGGGTTTTTTGTGATTTTTTTAAATCTTTACACAGACTGAGATAAAAATCAGCAAATCATTTACCGTGCATAAAAGATATGAAAAAAGTGTACAACTTCAACAATGCAAATTAAGTTGTACAGTAAACGTGATTCCAAAGTAGGTCTTCAGATTTTGTTCTAGGCAAAAATGACACAGACATCTGATGTAACAGAAACACTGACTGCGGAGCTAATGCTAATATAAGAATTTGATGCAGATGTTTGAGAGGCTTTACCTCCAAGGATTTAAGAAGGGGCACAGACTCAATAAATAATTCATATGTCTTCCTCTTCTTTGCATTGTTTTTCAATATAATCCTTCTGAATGTCACTCGATCCTGCAAGAAACAGCACAGAGAAATACATTATTCCTCTTCACTAAAATGCTCCCTGTTTAAAGAACTGACAAACATGAACTAGTATTTGCAACAAACACTGGGTTTGAGAAGCCAGCTGTTAAAACTATACCATATCCATCGCAGTGGTGATCATAACAGCTCTTGTGAGAGTACTTGTTGCAATAACAAACTGAAAAACAGGGAGCTGTAAGACCTGGTCCTTCTCAGATAAGCATTTAAGAATTCTGGTTTTAGTCTATCTTGTACTGTTTTTCAGGGTTGAGTTTTTGGGTTTTGTTTGGCTGTTTGTTAATATATCTTTCATGCTTACACACACAGTGAAGAAATTACGCTCTTCTTGCTGAAGTCCCTAGAATTTGAATTTCCAACACTTATTTGTTAAGGCAACTGCAGGACTAAGTCTGAATTGGATTCTTCTCTACTTGAGTCAGGGATTTCAAAAGTTGAATATTTATACTGGTCTCAAATAGATCAGGAACAGAATATCAAACAGCAACAGGCTGTTTCACTCCTCCACCTTCTAGGATCCAAGAGCCAGCTTTTTGCAATGACTGTTTCCGAATTGCTAGCTGTCCACATGTACCATAAGCACCTTCCTGATGGAAAAACTATTTGGATTGTTTTTGAAGCCCAAATATTGGGCAAGATTCCCGCCCAGCCCCTGCCACCCCTCCTGCTCTGATCTTTTCCCCAGGCAGCAGCTAGTGCTCTGCAGGCTCCGTGGCCACTGGGCGGCACTACGTGCCCGAGTGAAGGCAAGCTCGCCCAGTTAACCACATCTCCTGCCTCAGTACCTGCAAGGGCAGACATATTTGAGGGTTTATTGTCAGAGATCTTAACGAAATGCTTTTTATTTCCACACAGAAAAGGCAGGGCTCCACTACTGGCAAACACCAATGAGAAAGGCAACAAGAGAGCTGAAACTAAACAGCACATCCAGGCTAAGGGGAAGGGCACTTGCCCACCAGGTATTTTTGTTAGCGTTTGCATGACAATAATGCCCACGGTCCCTGTTGGGATCAGCACTAAATTATGAACAGAGCACGAGTTGCAGAGTTTACCTTACACAACATGAGGCCGTAAGTGTAAAAAGCAAAACCAAAAAGTCAGAGGAAAGGAGAGGAAATTTGGTTAGGAGAATGGTATCAAAAAACCTAAAACTTTTAAGTTTACATATATACCACAATTTGCAGAAAATTCTGAAGCCCTGAGAGCCACTTGTCTGGATCTCATTTTCTGAAAACATCAACTGATACCTTAGCAGCGATATTTTGAGGTGAAGAGGTATTGTCAAGTAAGTGAACAATTTTATGGGATTCAGGCTGCAAATACTTGTAACTTGAAACGATGACTGATACAGGTGACACTACTGGAATATAAAAGTCGAAGTAGGTGAAAGATGAAGGGAGGAATGGTATTACTCCAAAGGAGAACAAGAGATGATAAAGCACGAGGGATTGTTTTATCTTTAGTTTTTTAAATAGATTCTTCAGTTGTAGAAGTCTCTTCAAATGTACATGTTTGGAAAAGCAGAAAGGTGCAGAAACTGTCAGGGGAATTGCAAAAGCATAAAAAATTCAGAATTCATTTGTTTGAGAGTATCAATGGCAGAGGAGAAGCAGCAGTATTTGAACAAAAAAGGCAGAGTAGTGAAGGAAGCATGTGTGATCGTGAGGTTTTCCCCAGACATGTTCCGTAGCAAAGGCTGAGGACATTTCTCTGCTCCAGAAGAGACCCACGTTTGATAACTGCTTTGTGCCTGAGCCTTCCAGGCTTTTTTGTTGGCCTAAGTCTGCAATGCAGCAGGAGTAATCCACATTTCCTAAACACCAGATAACCCATGAGCTTTAGCAATGACTTCTGCGGACTAATAAAAATAAGTTTACATTACATCAGGCACAAAATAGTATAATAAAACATGGCAACAACAGAATAACTAGAAGAAATAATGGACGTTTTAGGCAGGAAAATGCAGCCTTAGTTAATAAAATATCCACAGGACAGATGACTAGCAAGAGGTCCCCCTTCAACTACACCTTGCTAATTAAGTGAACGTAATCACAGAAAAAACAAACCCAAATTTAACCCAACTTGTGCAGTTCATTTCAGAGGCAAACTGGAACAAAGAATCACCTTCTCATTTTCTTCCTTTTATGAATGAGCTCAGTTTGTAGGTAGCTGCTTCATTCTGTCTTGTTCAATAAATTAGATTCTGACACTACTCCCTGTTGATTTACCAAAATCTTTTCTTTCAGCTCACAAAGAAAAGGGACGTCGGAAATCAGTTCTCTCAGCATGCGCAGAGATTGCATAAGCACACTGTGTGTAGCTGCTTATCAGTCCTACAGTCACGGTCACAACACATGGTCAACCCCCAGCGATAGTTGCCGAGGAGCCCAGTGCACACAGAAAGCATACAACACTTCTGGCTTTCAAAGGCTTCGTTGATCACACAATCAGGTTATTATGTGAGCCCTCACAGATGAGTAAGAGAGCACTGTGAAAATAACTCTATCCAAATAGTACAAAGAAAAGAACTAAAACAAGAAACTAATGTCTACAGCTTCACATTCAACACTGCTGGGCTAGAGACAAAGCAACACCATCATTTAGCTTGGTATCTCATAGGTCATGCTGACCTGAGAACCTCTTCCAGGGTAACACAAAGGGACCAGAAACATCATGACAGTTTATTTTGAAGGAAAACAAATCTTTGGGCAGTTTTCCTAGCTCTTCAAATTACTGACATCCTCAAGAAGATATTTAACACCTTCCCATTCCCCTTAAAGCAGACAAAATGGTAGGAAGGTGAGTTGAAAATAAAGAATGTCATTTAGATATTGTTTCTCCCTCCCATAAAATACATGCATTAATGCCTCCACTGTCCTCTGCAGGATGAACACAGAACCAGGTTTTTTTTTTCCCCCTAACAAAAGCCACCATTACAGCAAATGCAAAATAATAAAGGGACAGATAAAACTAGTGATGTCGTTTTTACAGAAAAGTTTTCTAGAAAGGTGGCCAAAAAGATTTGCACAATGGATCTCTTATGCCAGGAGGCAAGATAACAGATCATGATAAAACAGCTATTAGCACAAGGAGCCATACCAAGAGAAGCACTGCAAGTTAGTGTTTAAAACAGTATGCGAGAGCAACTTCCTTTCCTTACCAGTCCCCAAAGGGCTCCTTCTGTTGTGGCAACAATGGTGGCAGCTCTAGGAGTGTTGTACATCAATGCCAGTTCCCCAAAACTGCCATGATTATCATAGCGGCCCACACAGCGTGACTGGTTGTCTTTTGCTACAATAATATCATACAATCCCCTGGAAAACAATGGAATAGACACTTTTTATTAGACAACATTCCAGTACAAATCATAAAACCAGCTTTTTGCTGCTATACAAATAGTCCTCCTACTGCTGGGTGAGACGGAACATGTTTTATCAACCTTTCCAATTGCCTGATACTAAGCTGCTTCTACCTACAGTATTTTCACAGTAATTCTCTCTTAATAAAGCATTTCACTCCTGATAGATCTGGGCAAGATCTACTTGGTTTCCTCTGCACAGTATTTTCACATTGCTATTGTAAATGTTCTGGCCAGGATGATAGGTAGTTTCATCATCTTTAACAGTATTTGTCTTTTCACAGCATGTGTTATCTAGTGAGGCCTCTTTAGAGTGACTTGGATCCATCTAATACCCATTTTCTCAGTGACAGCATTGCTGCAGTACCTTTGGGATACACTCAGTCCAACTGCTCACCTGCTCCTACAGTTTTGCCTCAACTCCAGCTTAAGGGTATGTCTATATCATAACCCCAAGATCCAATTGTAGCTTGTATCTGCATATGCCCATGCTAGATTCAAACTATCCAGCTCTTGTATGGACAACAGTGATGCCATAGAAGCACAAAGATTACAGAAAGGGCCTTTCTTTACATACCTAAGACACTAAGTGAGTTTTGCAGTGCAAACTCACTAGACTTACTATGAGCAGCACATAGTGATCTTCAAGCTGTAGGATTTAAAGCTAGTTCAGGAATGTTATACATGCCACATCTTCACACTTTAGCACAGATGTCCAGAGGCAACCATTTCTCACCTGGTATTTGTCCAATAGCTCCCTTATGACCAAAACTTTTATTGCTCAGTTCAACTTCATACCATGCTGGAACTCCAAGCATGCTGACAGTTGAACCAACCAATTTTATCACCATTTTCATGGAGGTGTGGCTACTGAAGAACACAGGTTACAGCACGCAATGTTCGAACTTGAAGAGCATCCATTCGACTCTCACAAAGCTCTGTGTGCTGAGGTGACACTGTAGGATGCACAAGCTTAGGAAGCATGGGTAAGTAACTTCCAGCAGTTTTGCAGAACATACAGGTTCCACTCTAGTCACACTGGCTTCAAATTGAAGCGGCCAAGCTAAAAGGTTTTTAATTTCTTTTTTTCCTTTGTTATAGCTCACTTCTAGAAACAGGAAAGCTCTCTAAAACTGCTGACATCTAGCCAGGATCTCTGAACAGATCAAGAGGAAAACATTCAAGTACCAGAAGCCTCCTTGTACTTCTTGTTCATTGGGATCTGTAACCTTTAAAATGGAAAGGCCTCCTCACCCTGTTCTCCAAGAGGCACACTTCCTACATTATAATGAAGTTAAGGCAACAGTATCCCAGAATTTACTAAGAATCAGAAGACTACTCTGATGAAGATGCAAGGTACAAGTCCAGTGAGTCAAAGCTCAAGACACAAATCTGGATCAAACTGCACCATAGCAACTGCATATGAAGAAACAGGCTGTGCACAGAAAGGTAGCCCTTTAAAAGTCAAACAAGTGCCTGTAACACCCTCAGAACTGCCTTATGCTTGGGGCTTTAAAAAAATCATTTTAAAATATACCTTGACTAGGCTTGATTAATTCTTGGCTATGGCACCAGAGATCATTCAGGGACTAGCCACTGGCCTATGAGACTTTACAAAATATATCATGCCTGGGAAAAAAGCAGGCAGGGAACACCTTCCTGTCTTTAAGCAGCTGAATACACACATAATTTTCCCCAACAGTTTAGATCTTTGACAGAAGGAATGGTATTATTTCCCAGAACATCATTAGGCATGTAAGGAGAAAAAAAAAAAAAAAAAAAGAATCATCAGGAATGGCAGTAGGTGAAACTTCTCAACCTGCCTAGTATTAACAGCAGAAGGTCTTTCAGCATTGCTGATGGACAGCCCTGGGTTTGTTAGTTATCTTTGAACACTGCTGCATCTAAAAAAAAGAATGTACTACAGGACAGCTTTACGCCAGCTTCATTTGTAGGAGATTCCACAAAGTGGACATTACATGCAAACAAACAAACAATTAAAATACATCAAAGTGAGGAAGTTTTGCACAATGACTTGAGGGTCTACGTATTAAAAGCCTTTCGGACCCACAAAAAAGTTTGGCTACTGGATCAACAGTAGATGGGCCAGCTTCAGACATGTCAGAAGATCCAAGAAATTTAGTCTCTCCTTGTCACCCAGAAAGCTAAAGGAAGAAGCTAGGCATGAAGACCACATATCATCCTTACTGGACACTTTTTACATTCCACTGTTTACTCACACCTAGGAGACAGAGACCCACAGCATGCTAACAGTAAACTAAGTAAGAATTAGTGTTGATGGAAAATTTCACTAATTCTTGTAATGTCCAATATGTATTTAATCATTCTCTGAGAAGCACCAGAGGCAACAATCTTCAGGTTTTTTTTAATCTGGAAGAGCCATCTGTGAGCATATTAAGGAAACGCAACACCTTCTTCCCATCCCTCAGCCTGAAAGTCACTTACTAGTCCCATTTATGTCCAATTAGCTATAGCCACGTAACCTTCAGCCAAGCATTCAGATGCCTGTGGCCCAAGGACTAAATTGGTGAGGCACCACTGGGTGACCTTGGCTCAGCTTTATTGAGAAAACTGTTGCTGAGCTGTGAGACAGTCTGTGAGCTAAAGCCCTGCAAGATAAGAAGAATAAAAACACAGACCGAAGTGTAATTGTTGAGATGGTAATCGTTAGGAGCTCAAGGACTCAAAAGAAAAATACTGACATGAAAAAATATAAAACCCCAAGGAAAAAAAAAGCAGAAAAGCAGAAGAGGGCAACTCAGCAAGATTGTGGATCAGTCTGTTCCAAGAGGCAAGAGAGGCCAGTGCTTCCCCTCCTGACTGATGACTGCTCAATCAGCAGAGACTCAATCAGGTGCCTCCTCAGCAGTGATGAGCATACTAATGTTTAGCCATGCAACACATTCGTCCCAGCTCTCCCTTCCATGCAGTAAGCACTAAATAGCTGCCACATCCTCAAGTTGCATCTGCCCTGCCTGCTGTCCCTCTGTGCATGGTAAAAGACACTCAAACAAAAGTAATCTGGTGAAGAAGTATTACAACCAGAAGACTTGGGAGAGGGACGCTGCAGGGGGACGGTGCAGGGAAAGAGGCCTGAGCCAGAAAGCCTATTTTTTCTATGCAGACAAGATGCTAAAAAGTTACATCTGCAACAAAGTCACTGTTCATTCAGACAGAAGAAACTAATCCTCAGGGATATTCAGGCATTAATGACTTGACTTAGAGTAACAAAACATGTGTACTGATGCCTTGAAAGAGCCAGAGTCCTCTGAATTTGCACTTCCAGGCAAGTGGAAATATTGTAGCTTGCCATAAACACCAGCGTCCTGCTATTCTTTCACATGAAAAAACAAGGGGCTGGGAGGTGGAGGAGGACTGGAAAGGGAGAGCAGGAGACAGAAAATTCATAACTGTAGAATTCCTTCTAATAACTGAATGGCCAACAGAAGAGTTGCAGCTCAGCTGGTGTTTACAGCAAAGGCTGGTATGCTCTATTGCTAGACAACACCAAGTTTAATTTCCCTCACTGTATAGCCTTTCTGTCACATACTTTTGGCAACATATTTATGTTACTGGTGTATTATACCTCGAGATTAAAACAAAACAAAAACTTAAAAACCTGAAATCTTCCAACCCAACTATCTCATGATAGAAAAAACCATTGTGGAATAGCATTACATTTGTAGAAAAGACACCATAAAAACATTTACCTGAATATCAAAGATAAGGTTCCACTTCAGTTCTTTATTTTAGGTTAAAACTCATAGCAGGAAGAGCTTTTTAGTAACCAACAGGTTAAGAGCCTTACACAGAAAAAAAATAAAATAGGCTGATGGTATCTAACATTTTTGAGAGGCTCCCAAACTGAGTTTAAGTTTCCTCAAGATTAGGAACCACTGCTCTGCGTACATCTCATCTTTGCAGAGCTGGTGGCTCTGGCTCCCGTGAGTTCTGATCTGCAGTACCTTACTCTTATCTGGGACAGCCTGATCTCCCCAGTGAACATGGCAAGAGAAGGAACTTGTCCTATCTAGTCAAAGACATGGGATGGGTCTGCGGCAGAGCAGTTCAGGAAGATAACTGAGCGTAGAAATGCAGCACTGGTTTAGGCTAATGCTATGGTATGGTAGAGGACAGGGGAACGGGCATATGGTCAGAATATATTTGCGGTAGCCTTATGTTCTGTAACTCCACTGATCAGAAAGGGGAATGTCCTTAAAATGAGTAATTCCTAACCTAGAAATTCTTTTGGAAATTCCTTAAACACAGAATGAATGACAATTCAAAAGGCAACATGTTGTCTCGAAGAACTGCTTTGAAAGCATTTAATACAATATTAATGGTGCCATTATTTCAGTGATAATAAAGATACCAGTGCATCAAAAAAGTAGTTTACTAAGATTGTGTTCTAACAGACATTTATAATTTGCTCAGTAATATTCTGTTTAGTATTACAGTTCTACAGGAGGAAATAAATCTGTGTCCTTAATTGTTCTTCAAATACAGTGACTAAAAGTGACATTAGCCAGAATTTCTTCCAAAAGGGTAAAAGATACTCAAATGTGCATGCACACACATATCTATTATATGCCTGTTGCACATATATATATGATCCATAAATTATCATGTGAATTTGCTTGATGCAAGAAATTGCAAAACGGCACCTCAAACTCTGCAAATGCAAATCACATGACCAACAGAAGCAAAATAAGCACAAGTCTCTCTGAAGTCAGTGATCAAAACTAACTGGACAAAGTGCAGGTTGTTCCATGGTAGCCACTACCATGGATTTTTATTTCCTGTATGCTCCTTCCCCAAAATAATCTCCTATCCCTTCCCTTACGGTATGGTTTCTTTTGCTGCTTTTCCCCCTCCTTTCTTCAGGAAAAAACATATCCTAGTCTAGAAACAGCATGTAATATGGCTGGTTTTAAGGTATGCATATGCTGATGGGCACAAAAGCTAAACTGAACAAAGCACAGGCAAGTTCATGCTGCGTTCTTTCCCTTAGAGAAAGTAGTATTTGTGTTTTTACACAGTCAAACAGAATGTATTAAAACCCAGCAGATTTGAAATGTCCACCTCTGTCAAATTTGACTGCCCCTGGGCAAATGATCCAAAAGTCAATGGGGGCCTAAAGGAGAAAATGGAAAGATCAAAGGAAGAGGCAAGGACTGCAAAAAATAAGTTTCCTTCAGAAACTATCCTGCAGTAAGCATTCCATGCCATTTCTAAGAAACTGAAAGGAAACATACGCTACATTTCAAAGACACAGCTGCTTACCGCTCAATGACATAGAAGTTGTCTCCATCATCACCTTGGTCAATCACATGTTCCTGAGGTTTCACCTTCCTCTCAAACATGGCATCAAGGACCTGAGACAGCTGCTCCTACAAAACAAGCAGGAGGGGGAAAAAGAAAAAAATTTTAAAAATCAAAAAACTCTTGGAAAATATACCTTAGCATTATTGCTGGACAAGGGTGAGTTCATTTGACTTGATCTGGATAGTGAACTGCAACACACATTGCATTACTTTTACTGTATGCAAATACAAGTAATACTGATATTAAATGTGGATTTCCACTAGCACCTCACTTGATTCCAGCTTATTAATATAAGTTCAATAATGCAAACACAGATACTTCCATTATAGAAGAGCTATTATCTCAAATTTATGTCCAAATGGCTTAACTTATGCATATCATTTTAGTGCTGAACGCTACACATACAGCAAGCTCTCACTTGGTACAATCTGACACAGTTTCACTGCAATGGATACATAACAATTACATCAACAGCACATATATTTCATTATATGTATGCATGTCTAGAAACTGCACCACGATTTATTAGTAATTTATTTGTACTGTCATCATCTAAGAGCCCCCATCACGATCAGTACTATACTGAACAAGACTCTATACGGAGTTATTTCCCTAGATCATTTGTGTCTTAGAGAACCTGCAATTCCAGCACAAGACAAGATCAGGTAGGTACAGATGGGGAGCACGTACAGAAAATCAGATAATGCTGGCCTGCACAGCAAACTCAAGCTAGGTTTTTCTCATGATCCATGACTAAACTTTTTTTTTTTAGGCAGCACAGCCAGGGAAGCTGTGAAAGCCAAGAGAGATGATGCCATATAAATGCCCTGCCTCAATGCTGAGCTGCTTTACCATCTCTGTTATTCCAAAGTTCATTAACAACGGACTTTCACTGCATTTTCAATGACCAGATGTTCAAAGTTGAAGATGTAGATCACAGCTGAGTTTCTAAAAATACACTGCATGAACACGCAAACTAGTCTTTATGCTGCTAGACACACTTGAAATACTTACTGCACTCCTCAAGTTGGGAATAATCATTGCAGCATCTGTAGGCACCACTACATTGAAAATATTGCCTATCTTTTCACTAGAATCCTATTTTCTTGTCTTTAAAAACTCTCCTGATATTTAAACTGAACAAACAATCATTGTATGAAAGCCATTTATTTTAACTACATATTTCACAGCATGCATTTAAGTAACAGCTGTCAGAAAACAAGCAATGCAGATTTTAAAAAGCTTATTTTTTAAAATACTGTAACTCAATAATGCTTTATTTGGAGGATAAACAGGCAAAGACTTATTTTAAGTAAATAAAACACTGAGCTCTTTGTCAATAAAAGGACAAGCTTCATCAGATTTCTGAACTGTAAAAAACCCTCTTAGTTTAAATATGGGTACTGAGCATGCTCAGGGACCTTGCTGGTAAGGATAACAGTCATTGCTCTCACCCAGTACAAAATTCAGTTGTAACTAGGATTCTACAAACTCATAAGACACTGTGGAGCCTACACACAATACGTCACACAGAGCTTTTAACAGGAGAGAAGTTATCCATTCCCCAGCACTTTATATTGAAACATAAATCAGATTTATCATTGGGGATGCTCAAAATCTTAGGGTTAAACTCTGTGACAATCCAAATGGATTTTAGTCTGGAGTTCAACGTGAACCTTGCTAGAAGTGATCCGCTGGACACTGGCTCCCTTGTGTTTGATACCAAGTATTACAGCAACTATTTATACAAGTAAAGACATTTAAAAGGACTGTTGAGTCACTGGGCCTAAATTCAGCACAGTTCACCTAAATGCAACCAGTGGACAAGGGTTGAATTTGGCCAGGACATTTAAGTCACACAATCATATTTACTCCTAAAGGGGTTTTATGCACTTTTATTGTTGTTGGGTTTGTTTGCTTGTATTTAACAGTTTTACATGACATTCTTTAGAGGTTAGAAGCAAAAGAACATATTTTGAGCCTTAATTTGAAAGTGTTCCTCACAATTATTAAAGGACAATATACACTGAGCAAAAGCAGCAGTCATGCGTTCTGCCTTTCAGTGTGTATTCTACAGCCAACCTTTCCAACCAGTCACATTACACAGAGGGAGTTAAAAAGAAATTATTGGGAGGAGGGGTGAAAGGATGCAAATTCCATACTCCCTTTATACCCATTCCTAGGAAAGCTCTCCCCTCGCTGCTAAGTGCCATTTATCGTACTCTAACCAACATAGGGACTGCAGCCATCTTTTTCAGCCATGTGCTACCTTAAAGCCTGAGTCTTTAACAGTTGCAGTTAAGATCATTTCCATTACTTCTCCCCTCAGCTGCTTAGAAAGCTTTTTGCAGGAAGTATTTTTCCAAGCCCACCTTCTCAGCTCAAATTTGTTTTTCAAAGTCATCTTTGGATATAAACTGGTTATTAATTTTTGCTTCTGGGTGATTTTACTGGAAGCTGAAAGATTGGCCTACTCAATTCAAATGGTGATCACGTTTTGCACATACCCCTTGAGCTGCTGAATGTTCTTAAATATGTTTCATTTTTTACTGTACATAATGAGGTTACTTGCAACAGGAACCTTTAAAATGTCTTAAGTAAATAGGCTTAATAATAGGAATCCCAGAACAATGAAAGGCCAGTCTTGGAAACAACAGCTTTCAAGTAAACTTTTTGACAGAATGTCAATTCCTCAAGCCTGCTGCATTCAAAAGCTTTCAACAATTATTTTCAGAATGCAGTTCAGTGACTCTTGGGGTTTGTACAGCAACCAAGAACTGGGAGAACTTCCTGGTTTTCAAGGAAAGCTAAGCAGCGTTTCTGAAACCATAAGCTATCACATCCATCCTTTCATATCTCAGGCAAAGTTCAATGACTCAAACCAGAAGCTGCAGGGACCATTGCCAGTGTTAGAGCTTTCATTCTTCCCCAACCTGTAGTAGAGATGTCAGTTCTGTTTTCGTGGAAACAGCAGACCAGAGATGAGATGCATTTATCCTATGGCCTCTCAGAGGCTGGATTAGAGGATCTCCAAAGGTTTGTTCCTGAACTATCCTATGATCCTCATCAAAAAAATTCATACCAATTAAGATTACTAAGTGCAAGCAATGGAGGCTCTCATCATTAAAACTCAATGCTGAGGCAATGAGTAGTTAATAACCAACTTCAGCAATAAAAATAAGACAAGTAAAAACAGGAACAACCTAAAAACATTACATTACATTCATTTACAGAAAATTTACTGACATATGGGCATATTTGAGAAAAACGTGCAGCAATCTGACATCATGCAAATGTGGATAGTGTTTCAATATCACAATTGTGTAAGTAATTTCCTTTTTACATTGCCCATAAAATTATGAACTGTTTCCTAGGGAAAAGGAAATCAGGTGCAATGGTACCCAACAGCAAACATTGAAAGACAAGCAAAAGAATTTTAAAAACCCCCAAACTTTTCTCTAACAGAAAAAAAAAATTGAATTTGCAGGGAGAGGGATCTGACAATCATAGGAACTGACAATTTGACATGTTTGTTTATATTGTTCATTGATTGTTGATCTCCAAACAAATGTCCCAATCCAACCTGCATATAATTAATAAATCATGAACTATCACAATGCAAACAAGTGTCTGGACTATTAGAT